CAAAGCATAATAAATGTTTCAAATATTATTATTTTATTGACATATGTACCTTTTGTGCTGAGCTTGATTTTAATAATAAAAATTATAATGAACAAAGGTAACGTTTTATGAAACAAATAAAAAACATTAAACCGTAAAATACTTACATTTTCACCACTTTGCCGGCAGCAGGGGTGAACCGAATGTTACTGATCTTTATATGGCAGGTGGTATTTTTCCAAGGTAATTTCGACAAGGAGTTATTGTTTCCTCGTAAGTACTAGCGGAAAAAATAGATTGTAAGAATTTTGTGCCTATATATCTGTAAGTGTATGAAATTCAAGATCCATCTGAAGTTCAATTGTTTTTTATTAATTTAATATACATAATATATTGGATAGATAATAACAAGATTTTTTTTAAAAATTTTAAATCTATTAAATTGCCAGTTATATGTATGACTCAGCTTGTTATTTTTTCCAGACCAAGTAATTTTCCAACGTTCCGCCGACGTAGCGACGGCAAGTTTTCGGTTGTTAAATATAAATCTAACTTATGGATGTTGAAAAATCATTCTCTGCGTCATAAATTGTAGCAGCAGGGGTGGGCTACAGTGAAAAATTGCACTCGCTGTGTAATCGTTGTGTCGAAGTAGAGGGTGCTAATGTTGCAAGTTAAATTTATCTCATAAAACATTTGTTATATCTGAAACTTCACTATTTCCTATCAAAAACTCACAGTCAATGCGACGTCAATAAAAATGAAAAATTATGGGGATAGATATCTATCTATTCCCATATATTTATAGATTTGAAACACTTTATACCTACAATTACATAAAGTAAATGCAGGAGGTCTTTGTTTTATCAAAACAAAGACCTGCAACTACTTTATGCACCTTTGTAGCTATGTGTGTCTCAAATCTACAAGTATAAAACTTAAGAGTGGAAGCTTATTTGAAGAATTTAATAAGTAGTTGTGCTACGTGGTATAGACGATTAATAAACGAAATTTAATTAAGAAGAGTGCCGTACTGCGTACTGAAAGTTGCGAATAAAAAAAAAAAGTATTTTTGAATAAAGTTAGTAATAATAGTAGTAATTGCAAGTTTGTAAAATTTTTCCGTCATAAAAACATTGTGTATCCATAGGGATATTTAATTCATCGATAACGATAAATATCTTTAACAAATATTTATTATGATATATTGTTAATCAAATCGTGATTGGAATACGTGCAAAAATATTGTGCATCACTTACTTTACAAAGTTAGGCAACCATGTTTGCAGTGGAAGGGTAAAAACCTATTAGATTATAGGCTCTGTTGGCCAGTGAAATTACACAGCTACTCCAACAGTTTTGCGCTTTCGACCCCAAATTAGGGTTCCGCGTATTCCACAAGGAAGGCACAAACGTTAAGGAACATTTACGTGGGTTTGCCACTGTCGTCTACCTCTTGTGGTCGTACCCTCCGGCGAATTATAAGCCTACAGCCCTTGAATACTAAGAGGGCCGGATAAAAATTCACCCCTCAGGTAGCCGCTTCTAAGCCGACAGATAAGTTCGTCTCACAACCACGAGGCAGGAAGAATCTGAAGGAAACAAATCAATCCCCGCGTGGGATTGGGAGATCAAGCGGACAGGTAAACAAAAATGCTTTACGACTTGGTTGTTGATCCTTGGCTAACAACGTAAAATAAGGAGTCTGTTTGGGCTCTAATAAAACACAGCGATTTGATCTGTGTATGTAAACAGGGGGTTTATGCACCCGAGTGTAGGTATTACAAATTGCATCGACATTGATATATTTTTTGTAAATTGCCCAATTCACTCAGGGGTTTGTGTTTATCCTGTTATTTTAGAGGAAATGTTTTCTGGCTGGAAGCAACATTCCATGAACCTTTGTCAAGACGTGTCAAGTTAAAATAGGTATTTCTTTTAATACTTAGCTATAGGTGTATACTGACCGTTGAAGTCAGTTCCATTGGTCAGTTCCATTTCATTACATTCCATCCAAATTAGTGGATTATATCACATTCCTTGATAATTATGACGTTCAATCAAGAATAGGTAAATTTATAGTATAGATATTATATTATAAGTACCTGTGTATGTAAGTAGCATGGCCTATTTCCACGTCACGTAGACAACTCGCAAACGAGAAGCTACAAACGAGCCTAGTTGGTTAGTCGCGGACATGTTGACTCACTAATGACTAATATTCTTTATATTATTATGTTCGTTTGTTAGATTCTTATCTATTTTTCATATTTAAGTGTGATTGTATCTGTAAATTAACGTTGCAATAAAAAATAACTAATGACAAAAAAGTTAAATTTGCGATAGATAAGTGTCGAATACCTGTTTTTAACATATTACTAGATAACCGTGTTTAACATCTCTTTATGTCTGAACAAAAGTACGTGTAATAAACAAAATAAGTCTGTATATATATATATATATATATATACTGGACAGTTTTAAATGTTTTTTGTAGGAAGGCTATAATATGAACTTTGAATTTTAAAATATCTAACAGTTTTTATAAATATTTATCTGATTGTCAAGCACTTGTCTATATAACACTGAAGTGGAAAATAGAATGTCAAAATATAGACAGCGCAGCCTCATTCACGACGCGTGTTCCTGTTGACACAATTTCTTTGTAAAACAACTCTTTTGCGGAGGACAAAATAGAAATAAGTTTGAAATACTGAGGCTAGACACAGTTACTGGCTATACTTAAGTATGGTGGCCGACAAAATAAAAGTGTAAATATATTATAACCTGGTAGGTATTATTCACTGTATAACGTGAACGTCCGAAAACTTATTATTTTTATAAGTATGAATAGTTCTTATTATATAGGAACTAGGAAAAAAGGGGAGAAGCAATCGCAGTGCAGGACATTACCCTACTAAATGCAGTGACAATTTCAAGTACATTGCAGGGAGTCAGTGGATGCAGGTGGCTCAGGACCATTTTTTCTGTCAAAGGGACCTTTAGTTATAAGTCCACCCTAAACGTAAGTTCAGCAGTGGACACTTAATCGCTGTAATGATGACGTTGACAGTTGTCTATATACAAGTACAACGGAGATTTGTTTAAAAATTCTCGCTATACATGTATATAGTTAAAATTTGATTATAAGTTTTAAATATATAAGTATGATAGTTACTACTAACATCAGACATACATCGATGTTACATACATGTGTGATTATATACATCTTGATATCTCGGAGACTACGTGTACGATATTAGTTTGGTCAATAATATCTAATGATATAGATTTGTACGTATTGTAGTTTATATATATATATATATATATATATATATATATATATATATATATATATATATATATATAAACTTTGGTCAATAATATCTAATGATATAGATTTGTACGTATTGTAGTTTATATATAAGATTTTACTAAATAATACTAAATATACTTAAGTGGTTATCATATTACATAAAAGAGGTTCCTTAACGTGGTCATAGGTAAGCTTATCACGTCAACACCATAAAATACTCCGCGAAAAGTGAGTGTAGAGAATGCTTTGAGGTCAACGATAATATATATAATAAAAACACAATAATAATATAATATAATATAATGATATTGACACGGAAAAATCTCTAAGCAACTGTTTTGTTAATAATTGTCACCACAATCCTATTTTTGAATAAATCCATTAATGATATAAATTTAATTAAATAGCAATTGGTTGTTATCAAGGCACAGAGCCGCAGATTATTTATAGCTTTTTGTCGTTTCGTCAAAGGTAATTGTTAAAACTTATTTAAATATTGCTTATATAATCTGACTTCTTTTTACATTTGGTATTTATTCATTACTAAAAAATAATAAATGAATGACGAAAATATTATGCCATGTTAGTTAGTAGTTTAGTTAGTTATAAGATATTTCGCTAACACTGCCTTCAAACGCTATCTGTTTCTACGTAATAGTTATCTGGTAGAGACTGCCATACGGCATTAAATTCATGGCTTATACAAATGTTATTGTGTAATAAATAAATAAATATTCTGACTCCAAATGTAAAGGTATAAGGTGAGGCATAGGATAGAGGAAATAAAAGATATAGATATAAAGATATCTATGTTTTAATAATTATCCAACATTTAATAACAAATGTAAGTTAATATAAAAATCCCAGATAATAAAATTGTTTACAATTTGTACTACTAAGTGTATGTAGAATATTTAATTTCCATTGCAACAAATCTATTGAACCATATAAGTGAAAGGTTTTACTCCAGAGGATTCGCATTTATTCGAGAGACTAAGTAATGAGGCTGTGAGCATTCTCGATGCACTTTTGCAAAACTAATTGGTTCTACTAACTTCAGAATAAAAATCTATTTGTTGCCCCATTTCCCTCACTTCTAGTGCTGTTCTTTAGATATTGTGAATTACTGGTATATTTTTATAAATTGAGTCGAAACTAGTCATGTGTAATATTTATTTCTACTATTATAAACGTGAAAGTTTGTAAATATGTTTGGATGTTTGTTACACTTGTTTGTTACATTTAGATGGCTGTACAGATTTCATTGAAATTTGTTATCCAGTGATACTATATCCTGGACTACTCTATACACAAGCATACAATCATGCAAGCGTACATAGTCAGTTTAAAAATAATAATGTGAAACAGTACAAGTGTTTTACAATGATTATAAACGCGATATTCGAGCAAGTGTCAACAATCAACACCATGTAGGTGTACCTACACTTTTATAAACTTTTAATTAGTAGGATTTTACTTTTAGCCTATGAGGATTTTTATATACTTATTTATTAAAAATAATTTCTGTTACACACATTTAATTTATGTATAAACTTAAAATGATACATAGCTATGTATTTGATGAATATATACCTCTCACATCACGTGTAGCGCAGCTACGCTTACTGAAATATTATTGTAAAATTTATAAGTGCGTGATCAGACTGACAAAATAGAGAGTTGTTCCTAAATGTATTGCACCCACAAAACACGTTCCAGCCGCCTCTTACCGGGATTACTGGCGTGTCGTGTTTACACTTGATCGATAGTGTCGGTCTTCAAGCTGCACAGCACAGCACTAGTTCAACGGGCAGCGCCATTCCTATCACGTACGTAGCGAGTGAAGGATCTCTAACAGCGACCTCCCAGCGTTCCACGCTCAACCTCGACAAGAAAGAGCATGGTGCAAGTCATTGCGTAATCGCGTGGTTACATGGCAAAATGTCATAACAAAGCATATTATTTGATAGAAGAAGTGGTGTAAGTAATTAATTTATCACTTTAATAGTGCCAAATTAGTTTTCATTATCACAGATTAATATTTAACGACCTCCACCCGACACTCGTTGCGACCTCCATCAACATCGATTTGTGTAACTAAATAAGATTCTAGGTACAACTCTCAGTCAGGTCGGGTTTCAGATTATATTTCGGGACATAATTTTTTTTAATATAGAGTTGGCTTGATTATCTGGTACATAGCTTTAATTAATAAATAATGTAGGTACTTGTAATCGTTCACAAATTTGTGTACTTGTTATTTGTCTCTAACGGTAGACAGATGGTATAAAAAAATTAAAGAAGTAGTTTAACATTTTGTGAAATTATCGAATTCAACATAACAAATAGCTTATTGTCATAGGTATTATGATTCTGTAACTTTTTGTTTTGTAATATAGATATAACAATGCCCAAATTTGCGAATAGCCATACAAGTACCTACTCGTAGTATTAAAAAGCAACTTTTATTAATGAATAGGTAGATATCAAACTGTTAGTAAGCATTAATAAACATAGCATCCATTTATTTTCAAATAGCTAAAGAAAAGGGGCTGTTTCATGAAATTCGACCTTGGTATCTCTGATTATTATTAAAGGTCACAACCTTTAATGAACTTATCGAACCATCAGAGTTTGCGTCATTTAGAACTCGCAACTCCCGTTAGCTGGGCTTGAATGAGCAACTTACATGAGCCAGAGATAAAGACGAATGCGGATTAAGACCACAGTTAGAACCGGAATATCTACATTTATGCGAGTTTTGCAGTGTTTGTTAGTACGAGTTTCTTAGCTTTGTTTGTATAACAAATTGTGGCTGGCCTTTAATAAATTTCATATTAACAGACACATTTAAGGGATTTAAGATTATACCTTATAGGTAATGTAACCAAAGTTTCAAGTAAAAAAGTTATATAATATATATTTCCTAATATACAAACGTTCGAAACATTTTCATTCTCCATTTTATTCCAGAGTCGAAATAAAGGTGTACGTAGGTTATTTGAATAAAAAATAATTTGCAATCAAATATGATAAATATTTACCTATTATTAAAAGTTTTATTCGGTCGAAGTAGCAGATATAAATTAGTTTTAGCATAAAAAAAATATTTATCAAATTTAGAGTACCAATCTACACTATTATTATAAAGAGGAAAGATTTGTATATATATTTAATGAATAAATTTAAAAACTACTGGGCCGATTTCAAAAATATTTTATCATTAGAATGCTACATTATCCCTGATTAATATAAACTACAGAAAATTTTAACAATAGGGATTCATATGAATACTTCGATAATGTAACTCAAGGCGTGAAAAAGATACTAAAAAATTCTTATACCGCGTACGTTGCTGAAACTATCGACAATAGAGCAAAGTGATGTACTACATTATTATAGAGCATAAAATATCTACAAAAAAATCCGCGCTACCATATGTCTAACTATTACAGTTACGTCACACTAACTACTACTACGGCTCGGCGCACATGTATGAGATAGGTAGGTATCCGCGCAGTCAGCTTCCTACGCAGCGGACGCTACCGACATTGTTGACTTTTCTAAAGATATATTTACTTTACGTTTATTCCAAAATGTTCAAAAAATTAATGTCCAGCCGTGCGAAACTGGAGCGGGTCGTTAGTCAATAATATACCTAAATTTAATTAGAAAAACCACTTGAAAATCTAGTCATCTTGAATGTCTAGACTGATCAATCAAGATAAAGAATGGTTTATATTACTTTGGTTATTCTTGTACCTATTATTTGGTTTAATTTCAGTATTGAATCAAATTATGTTCAACCCTTTTGAAACATTTTAATTAAGATCCTAAATTAGTTGAAATATCCAAATGAACGCGAAATTTCTACAGTTAAATGCCTCGTTATGATTTCATTCATTCATTTTGAACCGACTTCAAAAAGAAGGAGGTTCTCAATTCGGATGTAATTTTTTACATTTGTTACCTCATAACTCCGTCCAAATTTTTTTTTCTGAAAGCATGTACTTACAAATTGGTCCCATACAAATGTTATCAAAATCGATTCAGTAGTTTAGTTTTCAAAATAATTACTTTTGCTACAACTGCAGTCAGTTTTTTTTTTGTGGAGCACAATCTCAATTAATTATCAGATCATTATTTGAAAATTGTTTAAAACTTGTGGGTACTCATGGTACACTACGTTTGCTTTTAAGGTCGCAAATCAAGATTTTTCCTTTCTATCAGTTGTCAATATTTCGGGTTATGAATTACACGGTAATGAATAGAGTACAAATTATGTACATCATCATTATCATCATCATCATCATCATCATCTGACATTATCTTTCCACTGCTAAACATAGACCTCCCCTATAGATTGCCATAAATAACAGTCCTGAGCTATCTTATGTCATGTACATACCTATTAATATCTATTACCGTTGGTCCGTGTACAGGTCATTCTTTTTTTTGGAGAATTTTAATTAATTTTTGTAGTTTCTATGTTAAGATATTTTAAGAATCCTATTAACGAATACTGACACTAAGAAATGGATTCTCTTAATAAACACTGTGTATATTTTTGAAAGTTTTGTAACTTGTGCCATATCCCATTAGGCGCCACAATGTTGCAGATTGCAAATAACAATTTAAAGAGCATACAATTCCAGTTCACGCGTCATGACACAAGTCAACTAATGAGCAGTAGTTTACTATTGAATATAAAATGCGAAAACGTACAACAATATTAAATTGTAAGTTTCGAAATATTGGTAGATTTTATTTTATAATCAAAATTAGCTAGTGAAGCTAGAAATAAGCAATCGAACTGAATATTCCTTGTCGGTCTGTTTATTACGTCACCACGTGAAAATTACTGAAGAGATTTCAACAAAATTTTATAATAGATACACTTAAATAACTTAATAGAGTAGGTATCAAATAAACCGACGAACTAGTCGATAGACTTTTTTCAGAATCTAACGAGCGAATCACAAGATAAAGCTTTATCCCTCTCTATTGTATATAAATTCACATAGAATTTAGAGGTCTTTGTTAATTGAGTGGTCATGTTTACGATAAGCGGGCAGGTAAGTGAGATTTTAAGGGATCAAAAAGGTGTAAACAGGCATATAGTATACGAAAGCATTTCGTATTCAGATTGGAAACGGATTGGAAGGATTCTTGGTAATGAGTGAATTACAGCTAGTTCCAAAAATTCGTTATTTGATAAAGGTAGAAAATTATATGTATATACATATATAAGCAGATTAAAATACAAAATCACCAAAAGCCTAACTGCGGTTCCAACCGGCAACCAACCGCCAACCAACCCGCCGCCGCCAACTACCGGCAACTATTAACAGATTACTATTTAATAATGTATATCCATATACATGCACAAAGGGAATTTTACGAACTTTATGTGTTTTTCTGTTGTGCGTATATATAGACATCGTTTAAAAATGAACATAAGTTTTAAAAATAATATTACTATTGAATATTATATTAGATGATACATCATCACACGCAGAAATGAATAAATAAGAGACATTGACCAACGAATGATATTTTACTACGCTTCACTTATAATAATAATCACTAACTTCTTAGTTGATTTTTACACTTATGTAAATATATTGAAATTAAATAAAGAGTCATTTTCTTTTTACTCTTTATTTAATTTCAATATAATTATGTATTATGCATTTTTATTTATAAATTGAAAAAACATCTGCGTATTTAAAATATTTGATATATCACGTAGATAAGTACTCTGCTTTAGGAAAATAATATAAAAACGCCGTTTCTCAAACGCTGTTACTCTGCGCACTGTAACTAAATAACTAAACTTCAGGGAGAAAATTTTAACTTTTAAGATGTTGAACTTAATTTTAAATATAAACACTAATTCAATCTTTATTATGATAAAATGTAATAACAATAGACTACTGAATAGAGGAAAATGTTATTAGGTAGATATGTTTCTTATGCAGTTTGAAATGGAAAAAATGGCTAAGAGACTTTCTAGTGGACAGTGACAATCGTCACATGTATCCAGCAACATGCCTTGTGTATCACAGAATACATTGTGACATTTATTCTTCTTCACATGTTGTACCTACTACCTCTTACTTTGTACTCTGCTACACGGGTTTTGTATGCGAGATTTTTGAATAAAGTCTGAATTAGCATATAGTAGTACATAATTATTATAAAGGTGATGTCTTTTATTATATGAAATTTATAATGCATAGTAGGCCTAAATAAGTACATATATTAATTTTACTTGTTCAAATATGTTTCATTGATATTTACGACTGATGACAAGCTTCAATAAAAGTCTAGAAGTAAGCAATTATACCAATATATGTAGTTATAATTTATGTAATTTAGGTTTTAGATCTTCACTTTTATCTTAATTTAGTTGCTCTTTGATGTAATAAACTCATATTTATGCATATAAAAAGATTTCCAAATTACCAGATTTTCAGATAACTTCTAGATTACCTCGTGTACTCATAACTCCGATAATACCTCCATTTAGAAGAACTGTTCTGGGTAGTAATTCTCGATAAGTCGAGTAAGGTTAACGAAAAAGGTAAAACTATAAATAGCTGCAGTGACCAGGTCGATATTTGGATAGTCCAATTGCTTTTGTACGAAATATCTATAAATATATAAAATGAGTCGTGCTGCTGGACCTGCTTATGGATATGGTGGTCTAGTTGTTAAGCATTTAATAATAGTTGTAAGCTTTATATATTTCTCCATACTTATTGTTATAAATGTATTATTATATGCTGTGTTTGCCTATAAAGAATTGTTATACTTAGTTCTAAGCTCCATAATTGTATATATATTTACATTATTTCGGATGGAAACAATTGTTGGTGAAC